ATAAGGCATTCAGCACACAGGGAAAGGCACCAGGGTACAGAAGGGGACTGTTCCTATTGACTTCTGCCAACACAACCAGAGGGAAATGGCTGTGGCCAGCGGGACCGCAGCGGAGCAGAGGGCAGACAGGAACATGATATTTTTCTAGGAGTCTCTACTCCCATCATTCCATACATGGATGCTGGGAGAGGACTGTTCTTAACATCTGACATGAAATCCAGAGCAGAGCCCTTAAAGGGCCAGCTCTGCCTATAGCCCACTGTGAACAAAGCATAGGTATCAAAGCTGAATAAAAGAACACCCATGGGTTCAAATCTCAGCTCCAACATGTATCAAATACTGAACAATCTTGGTAAATTGTTTGTCCTTTTCAGCTTCTGCTCCTTGTCCTTAGGACGGATGTGGCAATGCCTATTTCACAGCAGTGCCATGACAATTATGTAAAATAGAACATGTACTGGACCTGGTACAATACTTGGTACTCAAGAAATAGTAGCCATTACTCTCATTAACAACAAGAAATGACAATCAAGTCCACCCAGGTCAAGAATCCCAAGTCTGAGCCCTGGAACCCACATGGTGGAGGAAGAGAACCAATTTCTACAAGTTGTCCTCTGACCTCCAGGTCCAGGTGCACAGTGGCCATCTGTGAGCATGCCACGCATGCGCACAGGCGCAGTCACGCACACAGCACACACAGGCAAATGTAACAACAAGTAAATTTATTTATTAAGTTATATAACAAGAAAGAGTAAATACAATGAAGCGGAAGGAGAGGAAACAGAGGGTATAAAGACCGAAATTAAATGTCTCCTTGCAACAGACGAGATCATTACAGAAAACCACAATGGATCAAAATATGGACACAGGTACCCTGACACATCTACAACACAGCTCCTGCAGCTGGGGCTCAGGGTCACAGCCCAGCAGGGCGGGGGGAGACGAAGGGCTGAGGGAACAGAAAGTTAGCTGTGAGATTTCATCTCCCAGAGATGTCAGGGAAACTGCATCCATGAAGTCACACTAACATGGCTGCCTAAACAGGACCTGAGCAAAGATGCCAGCAATACTAGACATGTCAACATGGAAGGGGGAGTATCATGGGGCCCCAACCCTAAAATTATAGACAAGGAAGGATTGCTAGCGGCAGGAGAAATATCCCCCCAGGGAAGAACCCCCAAATTGGTTATCCAATACTAGTCAGCCCTAAAATTATATATGTACAAGTAACATCATATGGACTAAGCATGTTGTACTTAAATACTTAGAAATCTGTGTGTGTGTGTGTGTGCACGCATGTGTGTGTGTGTGTGTGTGTGTATGTATGTGCATGTGTGTGCGCATGCCTAGGCATAACAACAATTTAAAAAAATAGAGGCTTTGTCAGGTATGGTGGTGCACCTTTAATCCCAGCACTTGGGAGGCTGAGTCAGGTGGGTCTCTGTGAGTTTGAGGACAGGATGGTCCACATGGCAAGTTCTAGGCCAGCCTGAGCTACATAAAGGCCAGGCAGTGGTGGCACACGCCTTTAATCCCATCACTGGGGAGGCAGAGGCAGGCAGATCTCTGTGAGTTTCAGGCCAGCCTGGTCTACAGAGTGAGTTCCAGGACAGCCAGGGCTGTTACACAGAGAAGCCCTGACTTGAAGAAACAAAACAACAACAAGATGAAAGGGAAAAGAGGAAGGCATGAAGTGCAGGAGAGTTAGAAGAAAATTATAACACTCTTGGTTTGCCACAAGTAACTAAAACAATGGCTACAACAGCCATGGAAAGAGGATGGGTTTTTCCTGCTGCCAAACAAGGCCAAAAAAACCAAGTAAAGGTCCAAGGCTCTGGCTGAGGGTGCATTGGGGAGTTGTCCGTCCTTCTGACTTTTCTAATGTAATCTACATCAGCTAGGCTTGCACTATGGCCTTGCAAAGCACACCAAACAATATTTGATGGGTTTCATATTTAGTTAAGTATCTGTAACCAAAGGGGACTAATTAGCGTGTTAACACTACAATGAATGAAAGTTTTCAACAGCAAGCTATTGGGTTTCATCCTTTGCATTCTAGTCAATATTTTTATCAATGGCTCGAGTGAGGAAACAGATGGTATGGTAATCAAATTCTTAGATAGCACAACCCTGGGAAAAATATCAAAGACAGGATCCAAGGAGATCTCAACAGGTTGCAAGGACGAGCCAAATCCAATATGCTCAGTTTAACTGCAAACAATAGTATGTCCTCAGCTCAGGCTCAGGAAACTACCATAAGTGGCTTAGTCAAGCACAACTCCAGGATGTGAGCATGTGAGCCAGCATGTGAGCATAGCTACTCAAGGCTCATTAACATTCAGTCATGCTGACATGTCTTCTTCCCAGCAAGAAAGGTATCTGATCTCTGCCTAGACCAGAGTGTGCCTGGAATACTTTGTTCAGTTGCACAACACACATTCATTTATTTGCTTCTTATTTTTGTTTTTGAGACAGAGTACATAGCCCTGGCCATCCTGGAACTCACTGTAGACCAAACTGGCCTGAAAGTCACAGATATTTACCTACCTTTGCCTCCCCAGTGCTGGGTTTCAAGGCATGCAACATCATTCCTGGCTATGATGTGAACTCATGACTTATATATGGAGGTCAGAGGTCAGATTGCAGGGGTTGATTCTATCCCTCCATCACATGGGGCTGGACCCAGGCAGCTGGGTTTGACAGAAAAGCTCCTCTCAGCAGCCCCCACAATACAGAAAACAGAGGAGGAAACAGAGAAGCCAGGTATGACGGCTTACTCCTGCAATCCCAGCACTAAGGAGCCTTCGGCAGGAGTATCTCCAAGAGTGCAAAGACAATCTACTCTACACTGCAAGGCTCAGGCCAGCCTGGGCTGCAGAGTAATACCACAGAAACAAGGGAAAAACAGAAGGCGGAGACCACAGCAGGGACCAGAAGTGGGAACTGTCATGATGACATGAGCAGTGGGAAGAAAAGAAGGTGCGTGTCCTACAGCACAGACACAGCAGATAACAGAGCTAGGGAGAGGCACTACCCAAGGCAACAAGAGCCAGACTTGCTCGTGTGAAGCCCCCAAACAGGGACTTCCAGAGGAGGGAGACAAGTGTGGGGCCTCACGCCTGCAGCCTCAGCCTGGATTACATACACACACACACACACACACACACACACACACACACACACGCACATGCACGCACGCACGCACACACACATGCGCACACGCACACACGCGCGCACGCACGCACGCACGAGGACAAACAAAAAGCAGCATGAGAAATATTTGTCTATGCAATTAGAATTGCTTAACCTGACACAGTGGTGTGCACAGGCTTGCAAAGTTGAAACTATGCAGCCCAAGTCTGAAGCCAGCCTGGGCTACATAGTGAATTCCAGGCCAGCCTGATGTATGGAGGGCGAACAGAGGACTTGGGGAGGAAAAGTATACAGACATTAGAAGATGCCACCTGACATCGAGGATTGTCAGGCTACAGCACTCAAAGTAATGTGGCATTGGCTTGGTATTTGAGAGTCCAGAAATAGAGCCAGACCTTTTTGGAAAATTGATTTTTTAAGAAGATAAGTACAAAGAGAATTCAGGAGAGGAAGGACAGTCTTCACCAAAGGCAGTCAGGACAACTGAATATTCCAAGACAAAAAAAATAAAAAAAAGGATTGCCAAGCATCACACACAGGATCTCATGGCATGCAAAAGCCTTTGTGCAGCAGAGGCAACCGTTAACGGAGTGAAGAGAGCAGATGCAGAAGACTCTTCTCTAGCTGTACGGCTATCCGAAGATTAACATCTGGATTGTACAAAGAACCCGAAAAGTTAACCAACAGGAAGTCAAACAACCCAGTCAATAAAAGAGCTTTCAAAAAGGACAGCTGGTTCTCAAAAGATGAAATGCAGACAGCCAATCAGCACAGAAAACTGTCCAACCCCACCAGCTGTCGGGGAAATGCAAAACTATATTGAGACCTCATCTCACCTGAATCCTGAATCTCAGTGGCAGTTGTTAACAAGTGACAGCCCGGTGGTGGTGGCACACGCTTTTAATCCCAGCACTCAGCAGGCAGAGGCAGGCGGATCTCCGGTCTACAAAGTGAATTCCAGGACAGCCAGGGCTGTTATAGAAAGAAACCCTACTCAAAAAAACTAAACAAACAAAAAACAAGTAACACGTGCTGGCAAAGACATGGACAGAAAGACATCTACTATTGGTGGGAATGAACACTACTCCAGCCTCTATGGAAATTCAGTACGGAAGCCTGTCAAAAAATTCAAAATAATGTTGGGCATGATGGTGAATGCCTTTAATCCCAGCACTTGCAAGGCAGAGGCAGGAGGATCTCTAAGTTAGAGACCAGCCTCCGTCTACAAAGCAAGTTCCAAAACAGCCAGGGCTACAGAGGAAAATGCTGTCTGGAAAAACAAACAAATAAGCAAACAAAAATCTCAAACTAGATCTACCATGTGACCCAGCTACAGGGCTCCTGGGTCTCCAAGTCAACACCCACACACTTGCACATCCATGAGGGCCTCAGTACTGTTCACAGCAGCTGAGCCATGGAACCAGCCTCGGGGGCCAGCAGCAGAGCAAGCGAGAAGGGCAATGTGTCCCATGCACACATGAAGTTTCTATCAGCCATGAAGAACAGTTTTATCATTTGCAGGAAAATGGATATAACTGGACACTCTACTAAATGAATAAAGCCAGTCTTAAATATTGTTTGTATTTTTCTTCTCATTTTTAGCCCCTAAATGTTGTTCTTTTGCTTTTTTTTTTTTTTTTTTTTTTTTTTTTAAACAGGGTTTCCCTGTGTTTCCCTGACTGTCCTAGAACTCTAGACTGGGCTATCCTTGAACTCACTGAGATCTGCCTGCCTCTCCCTCCCAAGTGCTGGGATTAAAGGCATGTGCCACCACCTTCCGGCCCCTGGCTCTTAAATTTCACATCTCTCTCTCTCTCTCTCTCTCTCTCTCTCACACACACACACACACACACACACACACACACACACACACACACGACAAAAAAAGCAAAAGTATCTAGGAGAATAACAGAAACAAATGGGAGAGGGAGAAGCGAGAGGGGAGGGATGGGGGATGGGGAGGGATGGGGAGGAATGGGGGAGGGAGGGGAGGGTGGGGGAGGGGTGGGGAAGGGTGTGCTCCAGTTATAATAAACACTGATGTGTGTGTGTCCTCAGGTCACACAGGGTTAGGGACAATGAATACATGCAAAGAAAATTTTAGTAAGAAGAAAGACAAACTTTAAAACAATATGCTAAGTGGCATGAGCTGTCACAAAAGGACAAACACCGTGGGTCTCTCTTATATGAGGTGTCTAAAATGTCCTAAAACCACACAGAGACAGAGAGTGTAATGGAAGTTGCCAGGGAATGAGACATTTCTAGAGCTAGGTGGTGGTGATGGTTACACAATAATACGAATGTATTCAATACTACATGCAATATATATTTTACCACCATAACAAACAAACAAAAAACAAAACTCCCCAGCAAACATCTGGATTTGCCTAATATTCCAAGCAGGGTTCTGTTTGGAATCTGCTGCCAGCTCAGGGCAGGTTTATGCTCTGGGAGCTCACCTCTGTCCTTCTCCAATAACATCTTTCCTATATTTCCTGGTAGGTTTTTTTGTTTGTTTGTTTACCTCCCTGCCAAGGAAGGCTGCTATCAAAATTGTCTTCAAGTGGAACCTAAAATTATAAAAACTGAGATCACACAATTAAACTAAAACTCAGAGCAATCCTGAGATTTGCCAAGTTTAGGGAATCAAGGTTGGGTTAAAACCCGAAACGCTGCCCTGTGACCAGCAATGTTTACTATGGTCTCAGCAGCCACAGGCAAAGCTGATTATTATACACGGAAGAAAAACATTCCGGTTCCGGCAGTGGCCTAATGTTCCCAAGCCTGTTTGGAAACTAAGAGTTTAAAACAGTTTTAGAGAGACCTGTCTTTTCAGCCATGGAAGACACTATGGTGAAAACTTTACAGATACAACAGCAACAAGACAAAAAACACCGACACACGTTTACCAGAGGGTGCCAAGGGGACTGGGAGCCTTATCACTTGAAAATCAGGAATGGCCTTTGAGGCACAGTGGGTCTTTCCGGCTCACAGGTGACAGCCCAGGTTGAGTCAAATAATACCTTGGATCTGGGCAGTATTCATTGGACAGCTCCTCCCTCTCTGTATAGAAATTGAGTCTGGAGTCCAATTTAGGGGAAAGGAGCAGGGAGGAACCAGATCCTGTGACCTTTATTTCTCATTTGTTCTAGTGGAGGTAGGCCTTCCAGAAAGTTGAATCTCTTCCCTTTAAGCTGGCACTCTGTAGCCACTTAAAATAGAAACGTCAAGTGTGTTCTGTTTTCTTTCCATCTCACTGCCCAGTCGGCCTTCTGTGGTCTAGTCATCTGTGAGCTCTGGTGGTGAGCGGAGGTGGACATTCCAGGCCAGTTAACTCTCCAACTAGCTGGGGGCTGGTTTTATCACAGGGATGGTCAGTGCAGTAATTCCCAGAATCTAGGTTCCCCCACTTGTAATTCTGCCAAGAGGGAACCTAACGGAAGTTAGAGCTAAGGAAGCAGGTGGCATTACAGTGGGTTCTATCGGAACCGCCACATCCTGCTGATTGGGAGAGTGACTGTCAAACTTTTTTATTCCATCGGTCACCCTTATTTGACTTTCTTGGATACTGAATCTCACACCTCTGCGTTTGACTTTAGGGTCTCACAGTAGAGGAAAAAGAAGGCTTAACAGGTTGCTTTACAGAATTGCAAATGCCGCGGTGCGATGGTTGCTCCTAAAGAGTCTTTACCTGACCCTAAAAGGGGGGACGCACAGCACACCCCAACTGCAACATCGCAGCCTTGCCAAATGAACCACAAGTCCCTCACAATTCCTCGGGTCGGGTGGGCAGGCGGGCGCACTAGACCCTGTCAGCTCCCGGCCCCGGAGAGCCCAGCACGCGCAGCGGGTGACAACCGTCATTATTTGGGCTGGGACACCGAGAGGCCTACAAATAAACACTCGTGGCATCAGGATTGGCAGCTCTCTGGCCCGCGGCCCGGCCACGATGAACCTGGGCCAAGGACTCTTTGTTGGGCACAACCTTTATTTCTGAGGAGGGACCGCAGGCAAGGGGCAAACCAGGACAGAGAGGGGAAACCAAACCCAAACAAAAAGCCCTGGAGGACGGGAGGGAAGGAGCCGGCAGGGGTCGGAGGCTGGCGCCGGTCCCCCACTCCCCCGACGGATGTCCCCTCTGAAGCCACTTGCTGGGTGCACACCCCAGACACTCCTCGCCCTGGGTGAGGACTCGGGGGACGCCGAAGGCCGGGCCCCACGCCCCATGCTCCCCACTTCGGGCCGCGGGCCTTTTCGTACTTACCGGGGGCCCCGGACCGGTCTTCCTCGCCCGCGTCCGCTCCCCTCCCTGCCCCCTCCTCACTTCGCGTCCCCGCCTCCAGGGGCCGCAGCCATGTCCGCTAAGGGCATCTCGGAGGCGACTAGCCTCCTTCCCGCGACACCAGAGCTGCGGGCCAACCTGCTAAAGAGCCGCATGCTGATTGGTTGGAAGTAGAGATGGCGGCAGTCTCTGATGTTTTTATTGGCTGCTTCCTGTGCTAAGCTGTAGCTGCAATCGCCCCTCCGGAGCCTGGCGGAATTATGTGATAACCTGCTCCGAAGTGATACCGGGAGCCTGGGTCCTACCTTGGGCACGGTGCTCCCGCCTTTTCAGCTGGCTAGAAGCCATCACGCAATTGCCTCCCCATTAGTTTTCCCACTAAACTGTTCTAAAGCCGTGAGCAGGCGATACGTTCTGCCCTTTATTTTTATTTTTTGAAAATCCCCTTGCAAGATCGCCTTATCGCTTTTCTTGAATTCTCCCTGATTTTTTTTTTTTTTTTTAAATCCCTCCGGACTAATATTGCATCCAAGCCAAAGCTGAAGAATCTAAAGCAATACTGTTATTTCACCCTCAGTTAGTTTGAAATCTAAAGGGAAAAACAAGTTTAAAAAAAAAATTCTAGATAATTAGAGAAATCGCCTGGGAATCCCGTCTTGGGAAAACAAAATAAGCCTGTGTCAGTATTTACTTCCAGTTTCCCAGAGATCTAAGTCTGGAAGAGTTGCTTTAAAAAAAAAAAAAATCTGTTTATGAAATCAGAGGGGTCATAGCTGGGCCTGGGAAGAAAGAGTCCCTTCTTTATATTAATGAATTTAATCATGTAATTAAAATTCTTCTCAGCTAGATAAGAAGCCATTTCTTACTGACTTAACTATTTAAATTCGTTCAGCTGTTACCTAAAACACCTATAGAATGATATCACTTTCCCGCACACAAATATCTGCAGTTTATTACAGTTCATTACAGATTACATGAAGAAGTCTAAATCTCCACTTAATCATGGATGTTCATAACATGATGGAGGCATGTATACATTTTTGGGCCTCACTGTCACGTGAACTCACTACAGTCTCAGACATGCTGGAGAACTTCTCTCTGAGCTTTTAAGTTTCCTGCTAAGAACAGCCAATATGCAAATGCTTGCCTGTCTGAAAGTCTCTCTCTACCATTTTTTCCCCAAGCACCATCCTTGTTTGTTAAACAGAACTCCTTATTGATTAGGTATTAGTTCTTTCCACTTCATTCCACAAAACATCCTGCCTTTCTCAGTTAGGGCTATGATTGCTGTGCTATGATTGCTGTCATAAAGCACCTAACCACAGAAACTTGAGGAGGAAAGGTTTAGCTTACACTTCCAAGTCACAGTTCATCGTCAAAGGAAGTCAGGGCAGGGACCTGGAGGCAGCAGCTGATGCAGAAGCCACAGAGGAATGATGCTTAAGGCTTGTTCCCTATGGCTTTTTCAGCCTGCTTTTTCTTTCTTCCTCCCCCCCCCCCCGTTTGTTTGTTTTTTTTTAAAACATTTATTTATTTTATGAGCATTGGCATTTTGTCCACGTGTATGTCTGTGTGAGGATACCAGATACTCTGGAACTGGCATTACAGCTGTGAACTGTCATGTGTGTGCTGGGAATTGAACCCAGGTCCTCTGGAAGAGCAGCCAGTGCTCTTTCCAGCCCCCTTTTTCGTTTGTTTTTAAATGGGGTTTCTCTGTATATCTTTGGATGTCCTGGAACTAGCTCTGGAAACCAGGCTGGCCTTGAACTCAGAGATCTTTATGCCTCTGTCTTGGGAGTTCTGGGATTAAAGGCATATTACAACCACCAACGCTCAGCCTGCTTTCTTATAGAACCCAGGACTGTCAGCCAGGGGATGGCAGCACCCACATCAAAAATTCCAACAGAATTCCCCCCTCTGGAAACAGCTCCCCAACACCCACATCCTAGCTGCTAGCGCCTGGGAGGAGGGAACGGAGCCATCCATACTCATGCATTATTAATATTATTTTCTGCCAAAGATATAACCCACGTGGTAATCGAGGTGATACAGTTATCCACAGGTAATTGGGACAAAACAGAGGGACGAAGTCTACCAGATCCCAAAGGGTGTGCAAGGAGCCCGTTAGGAAGCAGTTCAGGCATGGGAACAGCGGCACCCAAGCCCTCACAATGGGAGTCACATTTGAGGTTGGGAAGGGAGGGACTGAGAACACAGAGGTGGTTGCTTCTTGTAAGAATGTTGAGGGGAAAAAAGAAGACATGAAAAATCCCCCTTGGAAAGCCTTGGGCCTCTCCTCGGGGTTACCTTAGGGAGACTGGAGATGCTGCAGAATGACGAAGGACTGTGCAGCTAGCTACTTGAAATGACTAGATTAAAAGGACCTGGCCGAAAGGCCCTCAGAGCTCTGGACAAGCTAAGCTCTCCAGTGTCATTGGCATGATTGGGTTTGAGCCATTTACCCTCTTAGCAGGGTCTTATGGGTGGCCCTTTAAACTGGGGCGACCGGTTCAAGTGCACTGAAATAATGTTCAGAAAGTCTAAATGGTGCCCAGAGGCATGAGTGATCGGGAGGGGCTAAGATAGGGTGTGGTGGCCACACCCTTAATCTCAGCCCATGGAAGGCAGAAGCAGGTCGATCCCTGTAATTTTGAAGCCGGCCTGGTCTACAGAGTGAGTTCTAGGACAACCAGGACTACATAGAGACCAAAACAAAATAAAACGAAAAACCTGAACAATAACAACAACATACCCAAACACACACACATACACACACACACACACCCCAATGTGAAGTAGGGCACTTTATTGGCTAGTTTTATGTCAACTTGACACAAGCTAGAGACATCAGAGAGAAAGGTGACTCAATTGAGAAAATGCCTCCATAAGATCAGGCTACAGGCAAGCCTGTAGGGCATTTTCTGAGTTAGCCATTGATTACCTGTGGATGCCTGAACTGCTTCCTAACGGGCTCCTTGCACACCCTTTGGGATCTGGTAGACTTTGTCCCTCTGTTTTGTCCCAATTACCTGTGGATAACTGTATCACCTCGATTACCACGTGGGTTATATCTTTGGCAGAAAATAATATTAATAATGCATGAGTATGGATGGCTCCGTTCCCTCCTCCCAGGCGCTAGCAGCTAGGATGTGGGTGTTGGGGAGCTGTTTCCAGAGGGGGGAATTCTGTTGGAATTTTTGATGTGGTGATGGTGATTTTTGTTTTGTTGTTTTTGGGGTTTTTTTTGTTTGTTTGTTTGTGTTGTTATTGTTGTTGTTTTTTAAAGACAGGTCCTCGCTGTGTAGCTTTGTCCAGCCTGGAACTCACTCTGTATACCAGGCTGGCCTCAAATTCCCAGAGTTCCGCTTGCCTCTGTCTGCCTCCTGAGTTCTAGGATTAAAGGCATGTACCACTACCTTACCTGTGATGATGATTTTTTTTTTAACTTTTTATTATTGGGGGCACATGTGGGCACCATGCTATGTGTTTAAAAGTAAAAAGACAAGGGTCGGTTCTCTCCTCCCAGGGTGGAACTGGGAACTGAACTCAGGTCATCAGGGTTCCATTGTTTGTTTTTGAGCCAAGGTATAACCTGTATACCTGGATGTCCTGAAATTTGCTGTGTAGACCAGGCTAGCTTTGAATTTACGGAGATCCACTTGCCTCTGCCTCCTGGGTGCTGGGGTTATTAGCAAGCACCACCACACCCTGCACATTACTGGGTTTTGGGGGTTCGCACTGTAGCGCACACTGGCCTGACATGAAGTGAACTCCTCCTGCTGCCATTCCTGAGTGCTGGGACAAGTACAGCCATGCAAGAGGAAGACACATTTAAAAGGGACAGGGCTGTGGGTGTGGCTAAGTGGGTGCTTGCCCAGCATAAATGAAGCCTGGATTTTGTCCCAAGCAATGTGCTGCTGTACCCTTGCGATACTAGCACTTGGGAGGTAGAGGCAGGAGGAGCAGAAGTTAAAGACCTTCCTTCAGCAACACCGTCAGTGCAGGGCCAGCTGGCCTACCTGAGACCCTATTGCACACAAAGAAATGGGGTGGGGGTGGGAGGGGCTAGAGTGGTCTGAAGTAGGGCAGAGTTGGGGGAAGTTTGGAGGGAGGGAAAGAGGCTTTAGGGCAGAGTGAAAAGCATTCTGGGTGCTTCGGTAAATGAAGTTCCTCTCAGATGCTACTCTGCCACAGTTAAACAATTTCAGAACCAAAGAGGTTGAGCAGGAGAGATGGGTCAGCGGTCAAGAGCACTTGCTGCTCTCACAGAGGACTCAGGATGGGGTCCCAACATCCACATGGCAGCTCACTCATTTATGTACTTTTCCTTTAGATGGTTTTCTTAAGAAACCACCATGGCGTTTGAAGTTACTTTGCAATTATTCTTGGATGCCAGTTCAGTTCCCTCTGCAGATGGTTGGAGACTGACAGTGCCCAGTCATCCCCACTGTACCGTCTTTTCTTTCCTCATGTCCACCTACTCTTTCTCCCTAAACATATGAGCGTTCATAGGGTTCCTCTCTCCTGAAAACAAAAGCGGGTGCAAGTATGTAAAGCAAAAACAAGGGAAAAAGTACGGGAGGGAGAAGAGGAAGATGCCTTCAACCTCAGGTGGCATGCCTCTGTCAGAGCAGCCCACAGAGCACCTGACACCTTCAGCTTACTTTGCTAAACAGACAGCTACCACTTTCTCCATGGTGCCGCCCGGCACTCAGAGGAAAATAAGCATCTCAAGACCCCAAAACACAAGGCTCCAGTGTTGTTAAATCAGTGGCATAACCCTTTTGAGGCTCACCAACAAGGGTTGGGAGTGGTTGGGCGTATAGCTCAGTGGTAGAGCACTTGCCTCTGGATGCATGAGCTCCTGGGTTCAACCCCCAGGAGCTCAAGCCACCCAAAACATATACAAGGTGCTGGATAAATGAATCAGAGGTTAAGGCCGATCACTGCTCTTTGGAGAACCAGAGTTTGGTTCCCAGCAGGTGACCCACGACCACCTATAACTTAGTTCCAGGGGATCCAGTGCCCCCTTCTGGCGTGTGTGAGCAGGTGCATGCATACACAC